AAATGATGACTCATTTGAGTATACTTCAACACTCCCCTACATTCCTGAGTGTATGTCTGTGGGTAAGTGTCGCTGCGTTTTTAGATTCCAACCATGTTGGATCAATATTGAAATTTGCCGCGTGGGAGTTTCGTCACCAGAAAATCAGGATGACCTTCCTGTTGTCGATATCGTCCTTGACCAACAGGTAACGGAGGGCTATGTGTTTTGTCTTGTTGACGAAGCCAGGCTTGTCTGCAATCTTGATTGCGCTCTAGTTGTTGCAGAGTAACTTGAAGTTGCGTGTCGTTGCGATTTTCGCCTCTTGAAGTAACTCTTGAAGATAGAGTTCTTCGCGAACTGCAGAGCTTGCTGCGACGAATTCTGCTTCGGCAGACGAAAGTGCGATGACCTCCTGTTTCGTTGAGTTCCAAGAAATGACACCACCTGGTTCAAGTTTGAAAATTAACCCTGTACGTGAACGCCTTTTGTCGGGGTCAGCAGCATGATCCGCATCAACGTATCCAGTCAGTCGAAAATTTGTTGCAATGTTTGTTGTGTAGTTGAGTTCGATTGGAGGGCTCGACGAAGATCGGCCATATTCTCCCCTTCAGATCGGCGCAGGTACTGTGCGTGCTGACTCGTGATGTTGGCAAGCTCTGGGCGGCATGTAACAAATGCAAATAGAAGACACCTGAGCTGCTGTTGGTAAAGTTTATGCTTGGAGGCGGCAAGTGGGGAAGTATCAGATGTGTGATCAGCCGAAATGTGACGAAATGGAGTGGTGAGGCCGATACGAGCGATGGTGAACTTTTTCACAAATGTTTTTGCGTACTAGCTTGTAGAAAGGTAGATGGCATCGAGGCCGCAGTCGACGTTTAACCCAAGAAATCGGGTGACATTGGAGAAAATAGTCACTTCAAGAATCGTTGGGATTCTTTTCTTTTTTTCGATGGATTCGTTTGCGCTAGAAGACTGTTGCATGCGTCAATGTACAGTAAGTCATCCACGTAGGCGACTAGAAGAATGTAATGCCCTCGAAATTCGAGTCTGTACATTCCAGGAACGTGGGGCAGCTGCACGAAGTCGAATGAAATCAGCACTTTATGAGGATGTTGCTGCCACATGCGAGGAGCCTGCTTGATGCCGTAGAGTGATTTGAGTAATTTGCAGATGTGGATTCCGTCGCCGTAAGTGTGAGGGAGTTTGACGAAAATATCTACATCAACGTGTGCGTATAAAAACACATTTTAAACGTCCAATTGACGAAGTGGCAGATGGCGGCTGTCAGCAATAGTGACAAGAATTCGAATTGACGAAGTGGCAGATGGCGGCCGTAGCAAATTTTTGGTCGTAATCGATGCTATGGGTTTGTTCAAAACCTCGAATGACCCATCTCCCCTTCAATCTATCTGGTTCGCCTACTGCGTTTGTCTTTATGCAAAAGACCCACTTGCCCGAAAGTATTTTCTTGCCGCGTGCTGCTTCGTGTGGAACGATTTTCCACGTTTTCAGCTTCTCGAGAGCTGCTACCTCTGCATCCATAGCTGCTCGCCACTTGTCAGCATTAGAGCCGAAGAGGGCCTGCTTGACTGTTTTCGGCTCGATCCCGGTCTTTGGTTCTTAAACTGCGACAGCAAGGCCGAGAATCTAGAGAGCCGACTGGTCACCCCGAGGTTGAGGTTGGCAAAATTCGACGACATCATCATTGTCAATTTCGGATGGCAGATGGCGGGCACCATCATGTGATGCGGTGTCAATTTTCTGTCGGCGCAGGTGCTCCTCATAATTCTAGGCAGTCTGTGTCATAGCAGGACGCAACGCGTCTGAGAGTGGAATCAAGAGCGGGGTTTCTGTGTTGTTGGCACGTTTCGAGGGAATATAGGAATTGAACAATTGTTCGGCTGCCGATGTAGACGGCTGCGGAACTGTAGAAGGTCCTGCTGCTGCGTTGTCGGGCGGATAATATTCTTCGGCTGCATCTGCTTCGTCTTGAGGGGTGGCGAAACTCCGTTCGACATTCTATCTATCAGGATCCCGCTGCTGGCGTTCCTTGTCGCGTTCGAAGTCATCAAGAAAAAGTTTCTCGTAGCAGTTGCAATCTCGAGAAAACAAAACCTTCTGGGTTTTGTAATCCATAATTATCAAGGAGTAGGAATCTTTAGGTACACCGAGGTGTATTCCCTGTCGAGCCCGTTCAGTAAATCTGCCCACAGTTGTGCTTGGAGATTTATATTGTACCATGCAGCCCCAAACTCGTAATAGTCGAGTGTCGGCGGGGTGTTTTGTCCACATGAAGTGTGGCGAGCTAAACTGAGGGAGAGCTGTTGAAGACATGCAGTTGTGTAGTCTGACAGCTTGCGCAATCGCAAATGGCCAGAAGTCTGCTACCAAGCTGGACTGTTGCAGTAGCACGCGCATATTCTCTTCCAGCGTTCTGTTAGTTCTCTCAGCTACTCCATTCTGCAAATGGGCGTAAAGCACAGCCTTGCGCCTGAGTATCCCTTTCCGCGCCAGAAATTCATCTAACTGCTCGCTAGTGTAATCGCTCGCGTTGTCTGTCAATATCTCTTTCAATATGATGCTGCTCTACCGCTCCGCGATTTTCAGCCATAGCTTGAAGGCGTCGAGAGCTTCAGACTTGTGAGAGATATTCTTGTGCTAGACATTTCGAGTAGCATCGTTGATGAAGGTAGTTATATGCGGTAGTCATTGCCGCTGATATCCTCTGCTTCCTGCGGCATGAACAGTGACGCTGAAGACGACGTCCATAGGTGAGTACTTAGTAGCACTTGGAAAGTGTGACAGAAACGGAGCGTGACTTAGGTGAGCTCCGGGGCAGATGGTGCAGGGTGATTGGCGGCTGCTAGGTCGAAGCTCCTGGCTGTTGGTTAAAAGGAGTGCGTCCTTGTCAAAAACCAAGGCTTTAATTGAGTTGTTGAGAGATTCTTGTGAGGGATGACCTAACCGCTTGTGCCAGATTTCTGTTGTAGTCCTGTGTCCCTTTGAACGCAGGTACAAGTTGGAGTGAAGGAAGAAAGCCGATGAAGATGAATCATTGGCGCAGGGTTAACTCAGCGGCCGGTGCCGAAAGGTTGGATGAATCTGGTTTCTTCAGCGGTTTCAGCGAAGCTATGCAAAGGCGTCGGCGACGCGCCGAAGCATCGGGTACGATTAACTCTTTCTTGCCCCTTGTGCGTTCAACCTCCGTAGGTTCTTCGACTGTAGCAGATATCGGTTCTTAATTTTCGTAACCCCTGTTACCATCTCCAGATGACCATGTACTTTGAACTGTCTCTGCTGCTGCTTGTGTTGGCTCTACTGCAGGTTCGTCGAGGGAGTTGGTGTGAGAAGGCTGAGGCGTAACGCAGAAGACATTGAGACCATGACGGTCTTGGCGTTGGAGATCCGTTTCCCAGTGATGATGCCAAGGAGCAAGTGAGACGTTCTTTTCACTATCGCAGATGCCTTCACAAGTGAAAACCGTAAAACAGAAACGCCATCTTCAATTTATGCGATGCGGACTAAATTGCTTTTGTCTTCCTTCTTGTCGCCAAGGTACAACTCCGTGAGCATCATGTTGGCAGTGCTGACAAAGTAAATGCAACTTTCCATCAGTGGCACTTGTGATAGTAGGTTGAAGCCGAGTCTCGTAGCGAGGAGAACCTCATTAAGGTGAAGTGAAACTTCGGTGTCGTCAGACTCTAGTATCACATCTCCAATTCTTGTGGCTTCAATAACTTGATCGTTGGCCACTGTGATGTTGTATTTTTTCTCCGTTTGGCAGGTCTCGCCAATTGAGGAGATAGCGCCTTGAAGACACCATGGGGTGACCGCAACAGCTGTCAAGAAACCAAGTTTTAACATGCTCGGGATACGTACGCTTGGCGATGAGGGCATACACTTGTACGTTCAAGCGTCGAGGAAAGCCGTTAGGCTGTTTTGGTTCTTCTTCATTAACGACTGCTCGTTCTGGAGTTTCTGAACGAAGGCGAAGACGTGGAGGTAGGTTGGCTGGTCGTTCTTCCATGTCACTGTCGCTGTCTTCATTGTCTCGTCGGCTCCAGTAGCATATACCACTAGACCTGTGTGGTTCGATCATGCAATAAATGATTGCCTTGCCTTTTGCAGGTTGAGTTGAAGAAGCTGAAGGCGGCGAGATAGTCTTGACAGGGGCGGCTTCACCCGACTTCTCCCGATTCCTGTTCTTCAGTTTATGACATTCTTCAATATAATGACCTACTCATTTGCAGAACTTGCAGAAGCCCTTTCCTCATTTTCTTGTTTGCTCCCGTTGACTTGATGCGCCTCTTGACTATTCCCATTGACTTGGTCCACCTGTATAGAAGCTTAACTCGCTCTTGGCTTTGCCTCCTTTTGCGTTGTATAGGTACAAGTCCTGCTGCACTGCCATCAGAGTTTACAGGTGCACTGCCATAAATTTCTGAGACGTTTTCTTGGGAACGAAGAAGGGACTTGCACTACCTCCATTCGGGTCCAAATCTAACCAGAAGAATAGTGACGAAGAGCTCATTGCTGAGATTTTCTCCACACTTGCCAAGCTGGTCCCGAATATTTTTGCATCTGTTGATGTAGCTGCCGGCTTTTCTCCCGGAAACATTTGCATAGCTGTCAGTTGACTTAACAGCTTGCTCTGTGAAATGGAATCTTGTGTTTGATACAACCTTTGCAGGTAATCTCAGGCGTAAAAGGCTGGAGCGAGTGAAGATTTGAAGCACCGAACTCCCAACTGCTCTTCAGGTGAGAAATTTCGCACCAGTAGTGAATAGGCCATAAATGAATCCTTGTAATAACGCGCCTGTTCTTCTGTCGACCCTGTCTCTGGATAACGGATTGTACCGTTGAAATATCCCCAGATACCAGAAGATTGCGCGAAGAGTTCGAACTCGAATCCCCAAGTATAGAAGTCGTGGCCATCAAAGTAACTTGAGGTCTTTAGCTTGGAGATAGTTAGGAAATCCGCTTGATTTACGACAAATTCTGTAGCAAATGGTCTTTCTTCTGCCATTTGATGTTGTTGTTGCTACTGTGGTTGTTGTTGTTGCTGTGGTTGAGCAGGTCGTCCATGGAAGGTAAAAGACCCGGCAGATTCATCTCTAGGGACTGAAGGCCCAGCGGCAACAACAGCTCTTGCATAACTAGAGTTAACAAGGCTCATAGAAGCTGTAGGATGTGCTGGAGCTTGTTGTTGTTGTTGTTGTTGTTGTTGTTGTTGTTGTTGTTGTTGTTGTTGTTGTTGTTGTTGTTGTTGTTGTTGTTGTTGTTGTTGTTGTTGTTGTTGTTGTTGTTGTTGTTGTTGTTGTTGTTGTTGTTGTTGTTGTTGTTGTTGTTGTTGTTGTTGTTGTTGTTGTTGACGAGTATACTAATTAGCCATCAAGGAAGCGAAGTCGGACAAATCGTCAGTAGAAAGAAAAAAAATATGAGAATTCGTAGTTGAATTTCTTGTCATAGCATCTGACATAATTATAGATCTCTACCTCAAGCTTAAAACCACAGGCCAAAAAAGCAAGGGGGGGGCTTCAAGAGCGCCCCTCTTGAACATGGGTCACCATTGAAAATAAGGGTTCAGTGGGCGAAACTGAGGGGACAATTTTGGGGCAGCAGGGCAGATACGAACAGACCACATTGCGCACCTAGGGGAGGTTGGGCGAAAACTGGGATGCGTGCGACAAGGGAGCCAAGGCCTTACGCGACCACCACCCAATTGCCGAGACGGAAAAGAAGTTGCAACCAGGGCGTGTTTGTTCAAGAAAAGTGCACCTAGAAGGCCTTCTTGAAGGGAGGGGAACATGACGTCGCGTCGAAACATGCATAGAAAGTCAGTAGGCAACTCAAACTGGTCTCAAGTAAGAACACACTACAACATGAAACTTCTAGCCCTTATAAATTCGTGCAACTTACGACTTGGAGACTAAACGATGTACTCTCACATTGCTACTAAAGATACAAATATAAATTGCAACATCGCAACAAACATGTAGTTGCCACGCCCATTCTAGCATGCAAACAAACTACGTATACTTCTTCCATTGGATAGCATTATCAAATATTGATACTATGAATGGGAGGCAAACAGAGAAGGGCCTTATCCAGGTGGAAACGAAAAAAAGGCAATCCACACCCTTGTCTTCCAATCCAATGTTCCAAAACTACCCTCGGATGCATAGATGCAGCGGGTGAGCATAGGGACACGAGCACCTGACCTGCGAAAAAGGCAAGAGTGAGGGAAGGAGATAGCGGAACAGGTGAGAGTGAGGGAAGGAGAGAGTGGAGCTGAGGGGATGATGGGAGCCTGAGGAGATGGTGGGAGCTAAGGGGATGGTAGGAGCTGAGGGGATGGTGGGAGCTGAGGGGATGGTGGGAGCTGAGGGGATGATGGGAGCCTGAGGGGATGACGGGAGCTGAGGGGATGGTGGGAGCTGAGGGGATGATGGGAGCTGAGGAGATGGTGGGAGCTGAGGGGATGATGGGAGCTGAGGAGATGGTGGGAGCTGAGGGGATGGTGGGAGCTGAGGGGATGGTGGGAGCTGAGGGGATGGTGGGAGCTGAGGGGATGATGGGAGCCTGAGGGGATGACGGGAGCTGAGGGGATGGTGGGAGCTGAGGGGATGGTGGGAGCCTGAGGGGATGATGGGAGCTGAGGGGATGGTGGGAGCTGAGGGGATGGTGGGAGCTGAGGGGATGATGGGAGCCCCAGGGGATGATGGGAGCATGAGGGGATGATGGGAGCCTGAGGGGATGATGGGAGCCTGAGTGGATGGTGGGAGCTGAGGGGATGATGGGAGTTGAGGGGATGATGGGAGCTGAGGGGATGGTGGGAGCTGAGGGGATGGTGGGAGCTGAGGGGATGGTGGGAGCTGAGGGGATGATGGGAGCCTGAGGGGATGACGGGAGCTGAGGGGATGGTGGGAGCTGAGGGGATGATGGGAGCTGAGGGGATGGTGGGAGCTGAGGGGATGATGGGAGCTGAGGAGATGGTGGGAGCTGAGGGGATGGTGGGAGCTGAGGGGATGGTGGGAGCTGAGGGGATGGTGGGAGCTGAGGGGATGATGGGAGCCTGAGGGGATGACGGGAGCTGAGGGGATGGTGGGAGCTGAGGGGATGGTGGGAGCCTGAGGGGATGATGGGAGCTGAGGGGACGGTGGGAGCTGAGGGGATGGTGGGAGCTGAGGGGATGATGGGAGCCCCAGGGGATGATGGGAGCATGAGGGGATGATGGGAGCCTGAGGGGATGATGGGAGCCTGAGTGGATGGTGGGAGCTGAGGGGATGGTGGGAGCTGAGGGGATGATGGGAGCCTGAGGGGATGATGGGAGCTGAGGGGATGGTGGGAGCTGAGGGGATGGTGGGAGCTGAGGGGATGATGGGAGCCCCAGGGGATGATGGGAGCCTGAGGGGATGATGGGAGCCTGAGGAGATGATGGGAGCTGAGGAGATGGTGGGAGCTGAGGGGATGATGGGAGCTGAGGGGATGGTGGGAGCTGAGGGGATGGTGGGAGCTGAGGGGATGGTGGGAGCTGAGGGGATGATGGGAGCCTGAGGAGATGATGGGAGCTGAGGAGATGGTGGGAGCTGAGGGGATGATGGGAGCTGAGGGGATGGTGGGAGCTGAGGGGATGGTGGGAGCTGAGGGGATGATGGGAGCCTGAGGGGATGATGGGAGCTGAGGGGATGGTGGGAGCTGAGGGGATGGTGGGAGCTGAGGCGATGATGCGAGCTGAGGGGATGGTGGGAGCTGAGGGGATGGTGGGAGCTGAGGGGATGATGGGAGCCTGAGGGGATGATGGGAGCTGAGGGGATGGTGGGAGCTGAGGGGATGGTGGGAGCTGAGGGGATGGTGGGAGCTGAGGGGATGGTGGGAGCTGAGGGGATGATGCGAGCTGAGGGGATGGTGGGAGCTGAGGGGATGGTGGGAGCTGAGGGGATGATGGGAGCCTGAGGGGATGATGGGAGCCTGAGGGGATGATGCGAGCTGAGGGGATGGTGGGAGCTGAGGGGATGGTGGGAGCTGAGGGGATGGTGGGAGCTGAGGGGATGATGGGAGCTGAGGGGATGGTGGGAGCTGAGGGGATGATGCGAGCTGAGGGGATGGTGGGAGCTGAGGGGATGACGGGAGCCCCAGGGGATGATGGGAGCATGAGGGGATGATGGGAGCCTGAGGGGATGATGGGAGCCTGAGTGGATGGTGGGAGCTGAGGGGATGATGGGAGTTGAGGGGATGATGGGAGCCTGAGGGGATGATGGGAGCTGAGGGGATGATGGGAGCTGAGGAGATGGTGGGAGCTGAGGGGATGATGGGAGCTGAGGGGATGATGGGAGCCTGAGGGGATGATGGGAGCCTGAGGGGATGATGGGAGCTGAGGGGATGGTGGGAGCTGAGGGGATGGTGGGAGCTGAGGGGATGATGCGAGCTGAGGGGATGGTGGGAGCTGAGGGGATGGTGGGAGCTGAGGGGATGATGGGAGCTGAGGAGATGGTGGGAGCTGAGGGGATGGTGGGAGCTGAGGGGATGATGGGAGCCTGAGGGGATGATGGGAGCTGAGGGGATGGTGGGAGCTGAGGGGATGGTGGGAGATGAGGGGATGATGCGAGCTGAGGGGATGGTGGGAGCTGAGGGGATGGTGGGAGCTGAGGGGATGATGGGAGCCTGAGGGGATGACGGGAGCTGAGGGGATGATGGGAGCTGACGGGATGGTGGGAGCTGAGGGGATGACGGGAGCTAAGGGGATGGTGGGAGCTGAGGGGATGGTGGGAGCTGAGGGGATGATGGGAGCCCCAGGGGATGATGGGAGCATGAGGGGATGATGGGAGCCTGAGGGGATGATGGGAGCCTGAGTGGATGGTGGGAGCTGAGGGGATGATGGGAGCCTGAGGAGATGATGGGAGCTGAGGAGATGGTGGGAGCTGAGGGGATGATGGGAGCTGAGGGGATGGTGGGAGCTGAGGGGATGGTGGGAGCTGAGGGGATGATGGGAGCCTGAGGGGATGATGGGAGCTGAGGGGATGGTGGGAGCTGAGGGGATGGTGGGAGCTGAGGGGATGATGCGAGCTGAGGGGATGGTGGGAGCTGAGGGGATGGTGGGAGCTGAGGGGATGATGGGAGCCTGAGGGGATGACGGGAGCTGAGGGGATGATGGGAGCTGAGGGGATGGTGGGAGCTGAGGGGATGGTGGGAGCTGAGGGGAATGGTGGGAGCTGAGGGGATGATGGGAGCTGAGGGGATGGTGGGAGCTGAGGGGATGATGCGAGCTGAGGGGATGGTGGGAGCTGAGGGGATGGTGGGAGCTGAGGGGATGACGGGAGCCCCAGGGGATGATGGGAGCATGAGGGGATGATGGGAGCCTGAGGGGATGATGGGAGCCTGAGTGGATGATGCGAGCTGAGGGGATGGTGGGAGCTGAGGGGATGGTGGGAGCTGAGGGGATGACGGGAGCCCCAGGGGATGATGGGAGCATGAGGGGATGATGGGAGCTGAGGGGATGATGGGAGCTGAGGAGATGGTGGGAGCTGAGGGGATGGTGGGAGCTGAGGGGATGATGGGAGCCTGAGGGGATGATGGGAGCTGAGGGGATGGTGGGAGCTGAGGGGATGGTGGGAGCTGAGGGGATGATGCGAGCTGAGGGGATGGTGGGAGCTGAGGGGATGGTGGGAGCTGAGGGGATGATGGGAGCTGAGGGGATGGTGGGAGCTGAGGGGATGATGCGAGCTGAGGGGATGGTGGGAGCTGAGGGGATGGTGGGAGCTGAGGGGATGATGGGAGCTGAGGGGATGGTGGGAGCCTGAGGGGATGGTGGGAGCCTGAGGGGATGATGGGAGCTAGAGGGGAAGGGAGACGGGGACGGAATCCAGAGACACGACGGCTGTCAGGAGGGGATAGATAGAAGGGAGGGACGGGCGCACACACAGGGACGGGCGAGAGGGGAAGGATGGGCAGCAGGGGAGGGACGGGCGAGTGGGGAGGGACACGCGAGAGGGGAGGGACGGGCGGCAGACATGGGAATCTGACTCGGGAATGAGACTCGGGAATTTGACATGGGACTCTGACATGGGAATCTGACCTGGGGATCTAACTTGGGGATCTGACTTGAGAATCTGAGTTAGGAATCTGACTTGGGGAGCAGATTCAGGAATCTGCCCGCCCTCTCATCAGCCCTCGCTCACCCTCTCCCCCATCTCTCCCCGCCCTCTGTTACCCCACTTCTCTTCCTCTCTCCCCCTCTCTCTATGCACTCTCCTCCCTCTCTCCGCGCCCTCGGTTACCCCTCTCTTCTTCCTCTCTCCCCCTCTCTCTATGCACAGTCCTCCCGCTCTCCTCGCTCTCGCCCACACCGTTCACCCTCTCCCACACCGTTCACCCTCGCCCACACCGTTCACCCTCTCCCACACCGTTCACCCTCTCCCACACCGTTCACCCTCGCCACACCCCCATCCTCACGCGGCTCCGTCCCTCCCTCACCCTGTCATCCGTTCATTCTCTGCTCGTCCCCGTTCCCCCTAGCCTCGCCCTCCATTCCCCCAAGCCTCGCCCTCCGTTCCCTCTCACCTCGCAATCCGTTCCCCCTCAACTCGCCATCCTTTCCCCCTCCCCTCGCCATCCGTCCCCCCTCTTCGCACCATCCGCTCCCCCTCACCCCTGTCAGTTCCCTCTATCCTCGCCGTCCTTTCTCCCTCTTCGCGCCATCCGTTCCCCCTATCCTCGCCATCCCTTCTCCCTCACCTCGCCATCCGTTCCCCCTCGCGTCGCCTCCCCCTCACCCCTGTCCGTTCCCCTTAGCCTCGCCGTCCGTTCCCCCTCTCCACGCCATCCGCTACCCCTCACCCCTGTCCTTCCCCCCCATCCTCACCGTCCGTTCTCCCTATCATCGCCGTCCGTTCCCCCTCTCCTCGCCATCCGGCCCCCCTCATTTCGCCATCTGTTTCCCCCTCTCCTTCCTATGCGTCCCCCGATCTCGTCGCTATCCGCGGCCCCCCGTGCCGCTTTAACGCCGGCTATATACATGCGTTTCGTCACGGGGCCTAATGGCAGGTCTTACCCTAGATTCGTGTCGCAAACTACTGCTTCCTTAGCTCGTTTACTCTGGTTTTAGCTTGTCCCTTTGTGTGTTGCGGTATGACACATATGGAGGTCGCCTATCCGGAGAATAAATCCGTCTCCCCGTAGTGGTATGAGTTGGTCGTCGATGCGCGGGGCAGTTTTTTTGATCTGACCTGTGCTGTGGCAGCTATGGGTTCCTAAGCTTGTGTGACTACGGGATTATCTCCTCCTTTGAAACGTGAAGCACACCCATGGAGCTCTTGAATGATGGGTTCGAGGTTGTGGTCGCACAGAAAGAATTTTGGTTGAGTTGTGCGACCTCAGTTCTTGTCGCACCATATTCCACCGAAGTCGTGGGGGTGCTCGGTGCGTCGTGGCCCTCTCGCTACGTTTCAAAATGTCGCAAGACATGTTTTTTCGTTACTTTTCATGTGGAGTGCTCCAGTCTGGGTCTTTTATTCTGATCACAAAAAAACACAGTTTTCAAGAGCGCCCAAGGTGTGCTTTTTTAGCATGTGGTTTTAAGAGCGTAATTGAAAGCAGCTTGTATCGGTTCCTGTAACTCCTATAATTAGATTAAAATACCATATTGAAGTGAACCACGTGTTTAGGGTGGCCAAATCTACAAGGTGTAAAGTCTTCTGGTGATTTTTTACTCGTGGTTCCACCAACTCTAGATGCTGGCCACCAAAAACACGTGGTTCACTTTAATAGAGGGTTCGCCTCAATGATTCTTATGCAGTTCGTTTCGTGAGGTTGAGGATGTTTTGTGCTGTTTTAGTAAGTTCTATATAACGTTGAAGTATGGTATAGGGCGTACAAGGGCAAAGTTAGGCCGCGTGTCAAGCATGTGGTACAGCCCTACCTGATACGGGGAGCACAAACTGCCCGGGTGTCAGGGAAGCTTGACACTGGCGGCAATATTTCCCGATCTCTCAAACCAGTAAAAGTCGCGTCAACCAGTCAGGTTCAGTGTCGCATATGTTGACAGAACAAAATCCACGAAACGAACCGAACCAATTGGAATGCCCCACGACCTAGATTTGCGACGCGCGAATGGTTAGCAAAGCTCGCCTGACCTCGCTAATGCTACTTGGCGACACTTTCGGAGGTCCTGGCGTCAACAGTCGCGCAGTTGCCGTTACATCGACCTGTCCCGCGGGTCAGCTCTCAAACCCTGTACCAACCGTCTGACACGCGGTATAATTCGGCCCTAGGGAACTCGTGTGACACGGGAGCTCGCGAAGCCAGGCACTGCTGCTGGCATACTGCCTCTGGTTAGCGCAAGAATGCCACGTGCAACGCCCCTGATGCTGTCCCGCTGCGCTGGTTCGCACTTCCTTCACCCATGGTGATGATGCTGCTGCTGCTGCCTGCTGGTGCTCATCTCATGGGCCATGGCACATTCATCCCTTCACATCATCACATCATCCCCCACCCCCAACCCTGCTCAAGCGGTAGCGCGGACATCTCCAATTGGTCCCATCCCATCCCACCCAGATCCACCGCAACTTTTATCGGAAGGCGGAGAGCGCCCTTGGGATTGTCGCAACGACTTGATTGAGCCTCCCTCGGGCGAACGAGTTTGAAATGCTAGGTCTGCACTGCACTCAGAGCATAACTTGAGCAGAAGCAAGCAGCAGGCCGGGCCGTCGACAGGAGACGAGTATTAGCCACGTCAGTACGCATGGAAGACATTCACAAAAGCGTCCGGTGGGACGCTGACGTGGCGCTGGGGCAGAGGGAACAGAGGCAGCCCCAGCAGCAGCAAGAGCAGCAGCAGCAGCAGCAGCAGAACGAGCACAGCAGAGGCAGTGGTGGCGTTGCAGTAGTGTCAGGGACACGCTTCACGTCGAAGCCGTCGATCAATAATAGTAAATCGTCATCCCTCGATGCGAATCTGCCTCTCGGGGCACTGCCGAGACGCCGCGAATCTGCAGCCGCTTCGGTGGGTAGCACGGGAATATCGGGGTTTGTCCGGTCGGGACTAATTGTGTGAGGACTATAGGGGCCGTCGGAGGACCATTAGCGTGGTATGTGAACAGCAATAGCAGTAGTACTTGCTTATGGTCGGTACCAGCGAGCCGCGTGACGACCGGTTGCTTGTTTAGCGATCCGGTTCATGTGATCTGTAGATTAACTAAGGACTACGGCTGGCAGTCTGCGCAAAGCGGTTTCGGATGTTCGCGGTTGTGGAGGATTCGTTTTAGTGCGCTGGATCTGGATCATCACTGGCACGGGTTAGGCCTCACGACAGCGCGACCAGCGAGTACAGATCCTCGTTACTGGAGGCGTAACTTGATGAGCTGGATTTTGCGCTAGGATCTGTTGTTCGTTCCGTTACCGTGCGCGTTTCCACTAGTGCTTCTCGCGGCAGCTTGTCTCGGCTTAGGACAATTCCTTCGGGGCGTTCATTGCAGGTTGGAGATATTCAGAAGGCGCGCTTGAAGGATCCCGCGGCTAGCAAGGCAGTAGAGCATCCGTTTAAGCACGTTAGCACGCGAGCAGGTTAGCACGTTAGCATCTCAGCAGGTTAGCATGTTAGCACCTTAGCGGGTTAGCACGTTAGCACCTTAGCATGTGAGCAAGTTAGCACGTGAGCAAATTAGCACCTTAGCACGTGAGCACGTGCCTGTGGTGATGCGAGTCCGTGTTCCGTGTCTTCCCCTATTCGCCCACCCCCTCAGAGCCCCGACTCGGGCAACCCCAAGACGTACGAGTTGCGGCGATCTGGCCGTAAGCGGCGGCCGCCAGAGAACAGCGACTTCGAGTACGTCGACTTCGACCCGTACCGGCCTCCCTCGGTCAAGAAAGTGAAGCAGGTGCAGTCCGACCCAAAGACCCGCCGCCATGCCAGCTATCCACGGCCTCACCTGCCGTCTGTGGAAGTTCAACTGTGGTCATGTTGATCCGTGGTTTCCACCCGATCGCTGGTCTCCATCCGATCCGTGGATTCGATCCGTGGTATCCTTGAGCTGTGGCCGCCCACGTTTTCCCTCTTCCTTGGTCGCGGTTGTTGTCTGGCAAACCGGCGGCGCGCTTGTTTCACACCTAACGTGTTATGTTAAACGCCATCCCCCACCTCCTCTCATCAATCTCTCCCGCTCACCCCCCCACCCACCCCCCACCCCCCACCCCGCCCTCCCCCTTGTCTCGTGGCCCTTCCCGTCCCTCCCTCCGTGCAGAAGCCATCCCACACCTCCAATTCTCGCTCCTTTATGGCCCGTCGCACGCACACTGACTGGGGGCGCTCCTCCGCCGCTGCTCCTCGCAGCAACAGCGGCAGGATGCAGGAGTTGGTGAGCGAGGGGAAAGGCAGGAGAGACAGGCACCTGCAAGGAGGAGAGCGGGAACGGCGCAGGCAAGAGGAGGCTCGGTTCTCCCAGAGGCGAACTGGCTACTCTACGAAGTACGGCAGCCAGAGCGACGGGGGCAGGGCGCGGGGCAGCAGCGGCGGGCAGGCAGAGCAAGGGGAAGCGGGTGGGACGGTGGGGAGAGGGGAGGGTTTTGGCCGCGAGCCTCCAAGGCGGGAGGGTTTACGGCCGAGGAGGAAAAGTGGAGGGGGGACGATGAGAGAGCGGTATGAGGCAATGGGTATGACGGTGCTGGATGGTAGGGAGGTGGAGAGGCGGAGGAGGGAGAGAGTAAAGAGGCGTAGAAGAAGGATGCGTCGGCAGGAGGATGATGAGGAAGATGAGGAGGAGGAGGATGAAGAGGAGGAGGAGGAGGAGGAGGAGGAGGAGGAGGAGGAAGGGGATGATCATGGGAGTGAGGGCCATGATGAAGGGGATGTTAGAGAAATGGGCGGGGAAGGGGAAGAGGAAGAGGAAGAGCAGGAGGAGGAGGAGGAAGACGAGGAGGAGGAGGAAGAGGAGGAGGACGATGATCGCGCGTTCTTTTCTGCGAGAGCTTACACGCGGCGGCGACGGAATGGTGTGAAGATGGCCCAGGGGAGAGGGCAGGAGGTAGATACAGTGCATGTGGACCATGATGAAGACGAGGGGCATGAGGCGGAGGAGGACGGGGGGGAAGACGAGGAGGAGGAGGAGGAGGACGACGACGAGGACGAGGAGGAGGAGGAAGAAGAGGAGGAAGATGCAGGGGCGGGGGAGAGGAGAGGGATTGAGAAGGCAGGGGAGAGGAGGAGCCAGAGGGTTTACGGGCGAAGGCGGAGTGAGGTATGGGCGGAGGAGGACGGTGGCGAAACGGATGGAGAGGACGAGCAGGAGGAGGGTGAGGGTGAGGGTGAGGGCAGGGGAAGGGGGGCTGCTCATGGGGCGCGGCGGCGGCCGCTGGAGGGAGTATCGGGAAGGGCGCTGGGTCGTTCGGATGGGCAGGAGGAGGGAGGGCGGCAGGAAGGAAGGGAGAAGAGAAGCCGGGTTTCCTCTGGGCTGTTGAAGGAGCGGGAGGGTCAACGGGTGCAGGGGGGAGAAGGGCGAGGGTTGAGGTGGCAGTTGAGAGACGAGAAGGATAGGGGGCAGAGTGGGAGGAGTAGGGAGAGAGGAGAGAGGGAGGTGAGGGGGTCGGAGAGTCGATTGGGGCAAGACGTTGGGGCGCAGGAGGGCAGGAAAAGGGAGAAGGATAGTGGTTGTGCGGTGGGTGCGAACGGAAGCTTGCGGGGGGCTGATGGGACCAGAGGAAACGCTAAAGCAGAGCCGCACGAGTTGCTGCGATCGCCCTATGAGTTGAGGAGATCGAACAGGTGGGGTGCAGCTGCAGATGGGGCTGAGGCGAAGGAAAAAGGGGAGGCTGGAGCGGAAGGGGAAGTTGGGGAGAGAGGAGAGGGAGGGGAGGGGCGGGGAGGAAAGTTGGTTCTTGGGGAGAATGTGCAAGAGGGGGGGGTGGGGGGGGAAAAGGTGGAGGTTGTGGAGTTGCATGATAGTGAGGAGGAGGAGGTGGGTGAGGCTAGGGGGCGAAGGTCAAGCAGGAAACGAGGGAGGAGGGAGGCGAAGGATGAGGAGGAAGGTGGGGGGCCGGAGGAGGAGGAAGAAGTGGAGGAAAAGGAAGAGGAGGAGGGGGAGGGGGAGGAGGAAGAGGAGGAGGAGGTCGGAAAGGAGGAGGAGGAGGCACATGGGGTTGCAAAAGGAGGAGCTGCAAGTGGTAAAGGAAATGGAAAGGGTCAGGAGGGGGTGGATGGGGTGAAAGCGGGTGGAGAGAAGGGGGTGGATGGTGGGGAAGCGGATGCGAAGGGGGGTGGAGCAGACGAGGGTGTGGAGGAGGATGGTCAGGAGGAGGAAGACGAGGAGGAGGAGGAGGAAGAAGAGGAAGAGGAAGAAGAAGAGGAGGAGGAGGAAGGTGAGGAGGATCGGTACCCGAGGACTCGATCTAGGGCGGCAAGAGCAGACGAAGGGGATGGGCATAGAGAGGGGGAGGAAGAAGAGGAGGAAGAGGAGGAGGAGGAGGAGGAGGAGGAGGAGGAAGACGAGGAGGACGAGGAGATGGAAGAAGAAGAGGAGGAGAAGGAGGAGGAGGGAAGAGGCCGGTACGCCCTGCGAAGCAGAGAACCACCGACGCGGCCACAACAGCAGCAGCAGCAGCAGCAGCAGAGGCGTGGTGGTGCCCTTGCGTCCTCTGGAGCTCAGCTTCCTCTGCGCACTCGAGGGGCCCTGCGCCGATTCACTGCAGAAGCAAGCAGGCAACGAACAGGGGGCAGTGTAGGAGCAGGAGCAGGAGGAGCGGGAGCAGGAGGTACCGGAGGGGCGGGTGGTGGTGGCGCTAGTGGTGGGAAGGCACACGAGGGGCAGCGTCATTCCCTCAGAGTCTCACTAGCTGCTGCTGCCAGGCAGCAGCAGCAGCGGCAGCAGCAGCAGGCCCACCACCACTCCCACAGCCAGCACCACCACCAGTACACCCGGGGGGGAGCAGGAGGCGGATCGGGAGCAGGCGGAGGAGGAGGAGGAGGAGGAGGGGGGGGGGGTCATCTTCGCGGCGCTCCCTGCGCAACGGCGACGTGTCGGACGACTCTTTGGTGATAGATGACACTGAGATGCGCAGCCTGGGGGCGCACTGGGGGGGGGCAGGCCCTCTGGAGCACTCCATTCTGGCCCACGGCGTGGAGGCCCTTGGCCCTGCCGCGTGGGGAGCCCCTGTCGCAGCGGCTGCCAGTGGCTGGGCCTGGCAGCATGGGACAGGGGTGGGGGGAGAGGGGCGGGGGCGGGGAGGAGAGGAAGTGGCAGGTAGTCCGGTTGGTGTGACGGCCGGAGGGCTTGGCTTTGCTGCCACGCCAGGAGGTGCAGGAGGAGGGGGAGGAGGGGGAGGGGGGGGAGGGGGGACAGGCAGAGGAGGTGGAGGAACTGCAGCAGCAGGTGGAGGGGCAGGAGGAGGGGGGGGAGGAGGGGGAGGAGGAGGAGGAGGAGGAGGAGGAGGAGGAGCAGGGGGAGGGGCCGGTGGTGCGGTGGCAGCAGGGGTGGGTGCGGTGATGGGGAAGTCGTCAACCTCGTGGTCCAAAATGGGGGCGGACATACAGCCCCTGCGCGTGGACCCCTTGGTCACATTCGATCAAGTGGGCGGGTTGTCTCGGTACATCGGCGCGCTCAAGGAGATGGTATTCTTCCCGCTGCTCTACCCCGAGTTCTTTGCACGCTACAGCATATCCCCGCCCAAGGGCGTGCTGCTCTGCGGCCCCCCCGGGACGGGCAAGACCCTGGTGGTGCGGGCGCTGGCCAGTGCGGCAGCTAGA